CTCATTTCTCACACACACACACACACACACACACACACACACACACATGCTCTAAACTGGTGTTTGTTTGATTGGCAGGTTGAGCCCAATGCCACTATCGGGGAAATCAAGTCCATGTTCCACAAGAGTCGTGAGTATAAATGAGTCTCTGATCTTCACTCAGCTAATGAAGCTGTGTTATTTGATATGTTTAAGGTTTTTATAAGAGCCTACTTGATTAAAATCATGTATTATTCATTTAGTCACTGGGAAAATGTGCTTGTCTTGAAAATAATGTCACAGTGAAAAGTTTGTAAGGGTACAAAAATAGGTGAACCCTGAGATGTACACTACCGTTCAAAAGGTCACCGCCCCCCCCATTTCAAATACATGCTGTATTTTTTGGTAGAGATGCTAAAAATTGTAATAATATTTCACAGTATTAGTCTTTTTTTTTTTTTACTGTATTTTTGATAAAATAAATGGTGAGCAGAAGACATCTTTCAAAAATACAAAAAATACCTTACCTTACCAAAACGTTTGAACAAACGTGTATGTTTAAAATGTGTGCATTACAGTACTGTAATTGTTTTCTTATATTTCATGTGTTTGTTTCAGACCCTCAGTGGTATCCGGCCCGGCAATCCATTCGTTTGGATCCCAGTACGTATTCAAATTTGTTTAATATGAGTCCATTATCTGGACATGATCTTTTGACAGCATAATAAGAGATTCATGCTGTGAAGTTCCTGCTATTTCTTTAAGATTATATACGTTGTCTGTGCTGTAGGTCTCTGTTTGCAAAGATTAGCAGCAAAATCAAAACATTATGGTACTTGTGGTCAAGTTATTATAAATCTAGTGGAAGGGGTCGAATGTGTTGGAGAACTTTCTGTTAGATTTCTGTGGTGCACCATTGTACAGTAGATGACGGTTTCTGTTAGTTGGCATGAGCTGATGCGTTATGGGTTTATTGTGCAGAGGGAAAATCTTTGAAGGACGAGGACGTGCTGCAGCACCTGCCTGTGGGAACCACAGCAACCTTCTACTTCAGAGACCTGGGGGCCCAGATCAGCTGGGTCACAGTGAGAGACCACACACACACACACACACACACACACACACACGCATGCGCACACACACACACGCACGCG